ACCACCATACAGATCTTGTGGAGACAAAGTCCCACCTTCAGATTCAGAATATGCTCCATCGTGCTGTGTGGCACTATCACAGTGCTAAATGGAACAGACTTCATACAGATTTAGCAACTCAGAACTGGGCATCCATGAAGCAGTGTGAGCCATCAACAGCAGCAGAATCGTATTCCAACACAATCTGTAACCTCACGGCCTGGCATGTCCTCTGCTCGACCATTACCATCAGCCAAGGGATCAAACCCTGGTTCAATGGAAAATGCAGGAGGACATGCCAGGAGCAACATCAGGCATACCTAAAAATGAGGTGTCAACCTGGTGAAGCTACCAAACGAGACTATGTGGCTGCAAAACATCATAAACAGCTTTTCTTAGACAGAGCTAAGCAATCACACAACCAATGAATCAGCTCTAATCTCTGTACTTCTGCCACATTCAATCATAAATGGTGGTGGACAATTAAACAATTCACTGGAAGAGGAAGCTCCACAAATGTCCCCATCTTCAATGATGGAAGAGCCCAGCACATCAGTTCAAAAATAAGGCTGAAGAATTGGCAACAATCTTAAGCCAGAAGTGTCAAGTAGATAATCCATTTCATTTCCTCCAGTAGTCCCCAACATTTCAGATACCAGTCTTCAGCCAATTTGATGCACTCCACATGATATCAAGAAATGATTGGAGGCACTAGATAGTGGAAAGGCTGTGGCCCTGACAATAGTACTAAAGACTTGTGCTCCAGAACTTGCTGCACCCCTGATCAAGATGTTCCAGTGTACAGTTACGATAGCTACCCACCAGTGTGGAAAATTGCACAGACATGTCCTGTACTCAGAAGCAGGACAAATCCAATTCAGTCAATAACTACCCAATAGGCTACTCTTGATCACCAGTAAAGTGGTGGAAGATGTCATCAGCATTGCTATCAAGCAGCAACTGCTCAGCAATAACTTGTTCAATGATGCCCAGTTTGGGTTCTGCTAAGTCCAGTCAGCTCCTGACCCCATTATAGCTTTGGTTCAAACATGGAAGAAAAAGCTGAAATCCAAAGGTGAGGTGAGGTGAGAATGACATCCCTTGACATCAAGGCTGCCTTCAACCAAGTCTGGCATCAAGGAACCTAGAAAACTGGAATCAATGAGAATCCAGGGGCAAACTCCCTGGTGGTTGGAGTCATACCTGGCACATAGGAAAATGGTTGTAGTTGTTGGAGGTCAGTCATCTTAGCTCCAGGACATCTCTGCAGGAGTTCCTCAGGATTGTGTCCTAGGCCCAATCATCTTCAGCTGCTTCACCAATGACTTTCCCTCCATCATAAGGTCAGATGTTCGCTGATGATTGCACAATGTTCAGCACCATCGTGACTGCTCAGATAGTGAAGCAGTTCATGTCCAAAAGCCACAAGACTTGGACAATATCCAGGCTTGCCCTGAAGAGTGGCAAGTGACATTTATGCCACACAAATATCTGGCAATGACCATTTCCAATAAGAGATAAATCCAACCACGTACCCTCGATATTCAATGGCCATCAGTGAATCCCCCACTATCAACATCCTGGGGATTACCATTGACCAGAACCTCAACTGGACTCACCATACAAATACAATAGCTCCAACAGCAGTCAGAGGTGTGCAATACTGCAGCAACTAACTCATCTCCTGACTCCCAAAGCCTGTCCATCATCTACAAAGCACAAGTCAGGAGTGTGATAGTATACTCTCCACTTGCCTAGAAGGGTACAGTGCCATCAACACTCAAGAAGCTTGACACCATCTGGGAAAGTGGCACGGGGGCTCAGTGGTTAGCACTGCTGCCTCACAGCGCCAGGAACCTGGGTTCGATTCCACCCTCGGGCGACGTCTGTGTGGAGTTTGCACATTCTCCCCATTTCTGCGTGGGTTTCCTCCGGGTACTCCTGTTTCCTCCTGCAGTCCAAAGATGTGCAGGCTAGGTGGATTGGCCATGCTAAATTGCATGTAGTGTTCAGGGATGTGTAGATTAGGTGGGTTATGGTGGGATGCTCTGAGGGTTGGTGTGGACTTGTTGAGCTGAAGGGCCTGTTTCCACACTGTAGGAATTCTGTGAAAAAGCAGTCTACTTTATTGGCACCATATCCACAAACATCCACTCCCTCCACCACCAACTCTCAGTAGCAGGAGTGTATACTATCTATCTACAAGCTGCTGTGCAGAAATTAGCCAAAGATCCATGGAAAGCACCTTCCAAACCCTTGGACATTACCATCTAGAAGAACAGGGGCAGCAGATATATGGCTACACTACCACCACCTGCAAGTTTTCCTCCAAGCCACACCCCATCTTGACTTGGAAATATATTACTATTCCTTCAGTGTCACTGTGTCAAAATCCTGAGATTCCCTCCCCAGTGCTACTGTGAGTCTTTCTGCAGCACATGGACTGCAGTGATTCAAGGAGGCAACTCCAACTTCTCAAGGCAACTAGGAACAGGAGCTAAATGCTGACAACCATTCATGCTCACATCTCACAAGAGAATAAAACTAAATGCCATCTATAGCTCTCATGGCTTTGAAAATTTCTATCAAATCTCCCCTCAGCATCTTTCCCTTTAAGGACAACAGTCCCAACCTGGAACCATTTTTTTTTGTAAATAGCTTATCTCCAACATATTCATGTCCTTTACATAATATGTGGTCCAGCAGGTTACACAATACTCTAGTTGGTTCTAATAGGTGTCTTGTATAACTTCAGCCTATCCACCCAACATATGTATTTTATTCCCCTATTAACAAAGCCAAGGATACTATATATTTCCTTAAGTGATCTCTCCACTTGTCCTCCCAACTTAAGTATTGTACTCTCTATTTTATGTTTTCTGCCCATGTTCTTCCAAATTGAATTTCATCGTTCACTGTCTACGTCCTTTTGGAGTTCTACACACTGTTTGCAATGCTTCCAAGTTTTATCTCATCTGCAAGTTTTGAAATTGCTCCTTGCACAACAAGATCAATCTTATCAAAATACACATCAGGAAAACCAAGGGTCCCAATACAAATCCTGTGTAACTCTCTCAGAAATCCTTCTTCAGCCTGAAAATTATCCAATAACCACTATTCTGTTTCCTGTCACTCAACCAGCTTCATATCCATGTTACTACTGCCCCTTTTATTCCATGAGTTCTAACTTTTCTCACATGTTTGTTGCGTGGCAATGTACAGAAACGCCTTTTGAAACTTCACCTCCACCACATCAACCTTAATTGACCCTTTCTGTTAACCCTTCGAAAAATTCCAGCAAGTTAGTCCAAAACGATTTCCCCTTTAGAAATCCACACAGGTTCCTGCTAAACAACATAGCTTTTTTCATGTGACTACTAATTCTATTCTGAACATGCTTTTTTGTAGAATTCTAACACCCACCACCAACAAAGTTAAACTGCCTACTAATTGCTTATCCTTACAACCCTTTGTGAACAAGAGCATAATGTATGCACCTCCCGCGTCTAGGAAAGACTGAAAGATTGTGGCCCATGCCTCTATAATTCCTACTGGCACTTCCTTCAACATTCTTAGATGCAACTCACCTGGTCCAAATCCCTTGTCAACTTTAAGTATCGATAGCCCAACCAACATTTCATCCTGATCAATTTTAAACCCTTCTAGTGACAGAGCTTCCTCCTCTGTCACCATGGCCTGGGTATCTTCTACCTCCTTGGTAAAATCAGATGCAAAGTTTTCATTTAGTGTCTCTTGCTTCCATGTCTAAGTCCACTTTTTTGGTGTCTAATCAGCCATAGACCTCATTTTACCAATTAATTGCTCATACAAGACTTTGGGATTCTCTTTATATTGGACACAAATATTTTCTCATAAGCTGTCTTTGCCTCTCTATTATGCTTTTTCACCTCCTCTCTGAAACTCTGCATTCCTCTTGGTTCTCAATTATATTTTTTACCTGACACCTGTTATGACACACTTTTCCTTCTTTAGGTTAATTTCTATATCTGTTTTCATCCAGGAATTTATTTGGCCTCCCTTTCTCTTTTGGAAACGTAGCCAAATCCTCTTTGAAGGTAGTCCATTGCCCAAGTACAGTTTTTCCTATCATCCTTTTGTTCCATTCTATCTTGCCCAGTCAGTTCTTTACCCATTAAATTCAGCCCTCGTCCAGTTAATTATTCTTATTTTGAATTACCTATTAGCCTTTCCTATCATCGTTATAAACTTTATGGTCATTGCTGTGTCATTTCACAGCACATTTTCCTGTCTATCTTCATGTATCACCAAATGTATCACCATGGCTTTGATTCCCTCATCAAAGTAATGGATTTAAATTGTAATATATTAAAGGCCCAGCTCAGACCCCTGTGGGACCTCACTTGTCTAATTGTGCCTATCTGAAACAGACATATTTATGTCAACTTCATTTTCTGCCAGCCAGCCAATCTTCGACCTATGGCAGTATCTATTTTTCACAATGACCATTTATGTGGAACCTTTTCAATTGCCAAGTGCAGTACATCAGCAGGCTCCCTCTTATCTAGAGCATATGCTGCTCCCTCAAAGAATTCTAATTAATTTGACCCTTCCACAAAACCATGCTACTCTTCTTCATTACCTTGAATTGCCAAATTCCTAATTATAGCCTCCTTAATGAATGATTCCCATCAGAGACATCAAGCTAATGCACTCATAATTTTTTTGTTTTCTGTCTCGCTCCTTTGTTTGCTAGAGGGATTATATTTGCTCTTTTCCAGTCTAATGGAACCTTTCTAGAATGTAATGTATTTGGAAAATCAATACCAATGCATCTACTATCTCATTAGCTATCTCTTTTAAGACCTTAGGATGAAGTCCATCACAACCTGAGGACTTATGTCTCCACAACTTTGGTCAGCATTGCTTCCCTTACATTACTTTCTGTTGGCCTTCAAAATCACCTCCACAGAGCTGCAAAAATTCAGCAAATGGTTTTGTCACATATCCAATGAAAACAACTGCAGAAGATCCTTTCTTACCTTGGCTATGATGTGACACAAGTGAGCACCTTCCTGTGTCAGGCTACTGAGGCTAAAGACAGCTGTCTCAATATTATATATGCTGGTTGCTGAATCCAATTGCTTCACTAGGTCCTGTAAAACAAGAGAATATGCAAATAAATATTGCCTGTCTAATTAATGTTGTAATATCAATATGCAACTTTGAGCTGTGTATAAATACCAAAAGTAGACAACATTTGTTCTGTTTAATTGCTGTGTTAACATCTAGAAAAGACCACATTAAGCAAAATGATGTCTGTTTCCTGCAAGGAAACAAATACTTGGTAATATAACTAATGTTTTGCAAGTTGACTGCTTTCACGTGCATATTTTTGCAATATTGTTACACAATAATGTAACAAACAAGATCAAAATTCAAATTCATTAAAAGAAACAAGCAAGTGCTTTATTTAATTCTGGAGCAATCTCATTAACAGCAGTAGACAGAGAGTAAGTGTGCATGAGAGAGAACACAGTACCAGAAAATCAAATACCTATAAATTGACCTCAAAATTCATGACGAAAAGGTTTACATGTCTGTAACAGAAGTATTTATAATGACCAGGACACCATGAGAAGAATCTGAAACAAACTGAACTTAAATCGTTTTTTATTGTAATCATTAGAACTGTTCTAAAAGGAAGGCAAGAGATAGTAGGAACTGCAGATGCTGGAAAATCTGAGATAACAAGGTGTAGAGCTGATGGCCTGCTGTGTTCATCCAGCTCTACACCTTGTTATCTAAAAGGAAGGCAAGACACTTTAATAGGGGAATAAACATAATGATGTAGTTTGTTAATTAATACATTGCATTTTACCAATGCTATTGGGGAGGGTTTAAACTAAACTTGCAGAGCATGAGAACTTGGAGAAAATATCAAAGAAGAATACAAAGATGCACAAAACACCAACAGAGACAGTTAGATTACAGTAGTGAACAGAAATTAATAGGTGGAGTCAAAATAAGAAAATATTAAAACATTCTGAATCAGGATTAGAGATAAGGTATATTCCATAAAAATGGAAAGGAAGGCCAAATAAATGACAGAGCTCTCTGCATGAAAAGGTGGATAGAAAAAAAATATTTTTAACAGGATTGGGTAGAAGTTCAGAGCCAGGTTAAACAAAGAAGATTCAGAAGGAGCAGAGTAAAAGTAAGTAAAGGCAAAGAGTGGCTATGAAAAGAAATTGGCAGCTAACATAAAAGGGAATTCCAAAGTCTTCTATCAGCACATAAATAGTAAAAAGTTGTAAAAGGAGAAGGCTCTGATTAAGGAGCAAAAAGGGGACTTACAAATGGAAACAGGGGCCATGGGTGAGTCATTAAATGAATATTTTGCATGTGTCTTTACAAGGGAAACAGCTGCATATGGTGACAAAGGAAGCAGCTGTATATGTTGACAAAGAAGGAAATTTAGTCACTAGATGGGTTCTAAATTGATGTGGAAGTGATATTGGATGGACCGTCTGTACTTAAGATAGTCTAGTAATAAAGTTGACAAAGCATTGGAACAGATAAGATGTACCCAAGGAAACCTAAGGAAGAGGAGAATTGAAATTGTGGAGTCACTGCTCATGATTTTTCAGTCTTCTTTAACTTCAAAGTGGTGCCAGAGAACTAAAGAATTGCAAATATTATGCCTTCTTGAATAAAGGGTGCAAAATTAAACATTTGCAAGCCAGTCAGTTCAACTTTAGTGGTGGGGACACTCCCAGAAACCACAATTCAGGATAGACTGAATAGTCACATGGACAAATGTGTGTTAATTAAGGAGAGCCAGAATGGATTTTTTCAATGAAATGGTTGACAAGGATAATGTTGTTGATGTGGTATACTTGGACTTCTAACAGACGTTTGATCTAGTGCCACACAGACTTGTGAACAAAGTTAAACAAGTTGAACAAAAGGGACAGCAGCATCTTCAATGCAAAACTGTTTGACTGATAGTAAACAGTATAAATGTTAATGGATTTTTTTGGGGCTAGAGGAGGATTTGTAGTGAAGTTGTCGTGGAGTCAGAATTGAAACCCTTGCTTTTTAGACTATAACATGTAGGAGCAAATGTAGAGCATTCAGCCCTCAAATCTACCATGCCATTCAATGACATCATGACTGATTTGATAATACTCAATACTTTCCTGCCTTATCCCCAGAACTTTTGATTCGCTTACTGATTAAACATGTCTATCTTAGCAATGAATATGCTTAAATGACCTCGCCTTGACAGCCCTGTGTGGTAAAGAATACCACCGATTCACTATTCTCTGAAATTAGAAATTCCTCTTCATCCATCTTAAATGGGTGACCTCTTACTCTGAGCTTAAGCTCTCTGGTTCTAGACTCTCCCACAAATGGGAAAAACCTCTCCTCTTATCCTGTCAAAACTCCAAAGAATTTGATGTGCTTCAATAAGTTTGCTCTCATTCTTCTAAACCCAAAACAGCCCAACCCACTCATCTTCTCACAAGAAAATCCTTCCATGCCTGGATCAATCTAGGGAACCTTCTCTACACTGCCTCAAATGCCAGTACATCTTTTCTTTCTTTGATAAGGGGAATAAAACTGTTCACACTATTCCAGGCAAGGTATAATGAGTGCCTTGTATACTTTTAGCAAATCTCTCCAATTTTTATACTCTACTCCCCTCGACATAAAGGCTAATGGGTTACTTCAGTTCTCTAGTACTGGTTCAGATGAATGCTAGCAATTTTTTTGATTCATGCACAAGTACTCCCAAATCCCTCAGTGCTGCACATTTCTGCAGACTTTCTCCACTTAAATAATATTCAGCTTTTCTATTCTTCCCACGAAAGTCCATAACCTTACATTTTCCCACATAATATTCCATCTGCCAAGCTTTTGCCCACTCATGTTCTGGCATACATCAACCACCTAGACATTAGTGTACAAGAGACAATCAAAGCTTATGGTTGATACAAAACTTGGAACCATTGTAAACTGTGAGGAGGATAATGTAGAGCTTCAAAAGGACATTAAAAGTTGGTAGAGTAGGCTGATAGGTTGCTGATGAAGATTGATGTGGATAACTGAGGAGTGATATTTTGATAGAGACACAACGGAAAAACAGTATAAAATTTGGCAGAACAGGTGGATAAAGCTGTTCATAAAGTATACATTGCTGTTAACTTTATTAATAGGGGCAAAGAGTACAAGTGTAAGGAAGTTATGTTGAACATTTATAAGTCACAGTTAGACCTCAGCTGGAATATTGTAGTTCTTGGTGATGCACTTCGAAGAAAATGTAAATGCATTGGAGAAGGCAGAAGAGGTTTACAAGAATGCTTTCATGGATTAGAAATCTCAGTCATGAAGAAAGATGGGAAAAGTTAGGATCGTTTTCTTTCTAGAGGAGAAGGCTAAGAGGAGATTTGATTGAAGTTTTCAAAATTATTAAAGGCTGGACAGAGAAGAAAGGGGACAACTGTTCCTACTTACAAAAGGATCTGAAACTATAGGGCAAAGATTTAACGTAATTTGCAAAGAAACAAATGTGGTATGATGAAAGAAAATTCATGCAGTAAGTCATTTAGGATCTGGAATGCATAGCCTGAAATGTAATGAGTGCAGATTCAATTGAACCAGTCCAAAGAACCTTCGATATTATTTGAATGGACACAAATGTACAAGAGTACAGGGAAAAGGCAGGAGAGTGGTGCTAAATCATAATGATCATGAGGAGAACTGCTGCAGACATGATGGGACAAAAGGCCTCCTATTCACTGTGATAGTTCTTTGATTCTTTGACTACTAGAGTGTAATTAAATTACCACAAAGAGGGTGTTGCTTCAACTTGCACAGTATTGTCTCAGTTCTTTCTAACATATCAAGCATGTCAAACGGTTTTAAAATTCAATTTTTTTCACTCTGATACGCATATCAGAACAATTTTAAAACTAACCATTAAAATTTCCCCAGCAATGAAAAACAAACTCATATGTTTAATTTAAGAGAATGCAACATCTTCTAGTCACAAAGATTGTGCGATTGTTTTAATTACGAAGTGTCTTGCTCCAGAGACAATCCTTCTGGGAGACTGGCTGTAATCCCAAATATGGTCACTGCTCCCATTGATGATGTGGAATCTGCAGAGCTACTGGCATATTTTTAGCCAGCAGTTCCTGAAGATGGGAGTCTAGCCCTACAGAGGTGGAAAATGCAGCTCAGGACTTCCCACTGAGAATTTTATGTGGTCCAGACCAATCTAGCAATAGATGGCCACAAGAAAGTTGTTGAAGATTTCCTTGTCAGTTCTCAAATCCATAAGAGTGAACAGACTGCTAGAGGTTGCGAGATTGAAGGAGTTTCCAAAATTTTGGATTGGAGAATCAATGTGGAGGGATAGATAGCAAAGGAGTTTCACAGGCATTCCCTAACATTTAATAGTGGCACCATAATTATGATTAGCAAAATGGTCAACGCTTCTCTTTGAGAGATGTTTGTCAGCTTACACTTGTGAGACTGGCATGTACCTCAGCATAAGATGTAGTGTGGTTTTACAGGAAGACAGATGAGTATGTTTATTTATTATACTACTCAAAAATTACATTACACTAAAAATATCACATGAAAACTTGGATGTGGTGCTGAGCCATCTATCTGATCATCCTATGAAACACTTGCCTTTATCCACAACCTAGCTGCATTATATGAAGAATTAATGCACTCTGACTGGCTGCTAAAAGACTGTAAATCAAAGTGGCAGAATATGTGCATGTCACATTGAAGTTAAGGCATTGATATATTTGTATTATGCCTGATAAATTGATTACTCAAATGTCAGAAACAAAAAGGCTTTATCTATTGAATTTGGTCTTTCAAGTTGACTAAAACCTTTTGGCCTCAGCTCAGGTATCAACTATATATTAGATATAACAAAAACCTGAAAATATGCAGATTAAATCTGTAAAGGGCAAAATGTCAGCTAAGTATGAGAAATAGTTGGAACAGTTGTTTAATATTTTGTGCAGATTTTTCTCATAGAATAAAGAAGTAAATAACAGGTAAAATATATTTCTAAGCACATTGCACATTTACTGAATGATTCCCACATGAGCAAATTATCAATAAAATT